ATTTCAACATGCATTTGGAAGGATACACTAGGGAGTAGGGATTCTCAGCCTTTTCTGTAGGATTTTGAGAGGTTTATATAAGAAACCAACTATATAAAATATTTTTTAAAAAATAACCAAATTCATAGACCCAATATAAGAACCTCTGTAATAGAGCTTATCCAACAGTAAGTATATCTTGGTCAGAGAGTTTAAATGAATGATGAATTGGGCCCAAATTGAACAGAAGGAAGAGAGATGACTTGATTGCTTTTAGGAAACTGTAAAGCTCATTTGCTGATCCCAAGTTTCCTGCAAAAGCAAAGGCCCATCTTTTCAATACTAACATTTTACCAGCATGGTTGTATAGCAGTGAGACATGGGACACAACTGCCTCTAAAGAACTAAAAATAAATATTATGCTGAAGGCAATGGAGAAACATGCTCAGTCTATTTTCTTATTCATAAAATGGAGGTAATATTAGCACTAACTACCTTGTAGTTGCTGTTGTTCTATAAAAAAAGTTGGTTGCTATTATTTGTCAGCTATTTAATGAAATTTAATGAAAGATTTTTCTAGTCTGTATTTTTCCTTCTTATTTTAGCTGCATTGATTTTACTTATGCAGAATCTTTCATTTTTATCTAGTTAAACTAAACTATTTTGTCTTTGCAATTTTCTTTAAGTCATGGTTGTTTATAACCTCATCCTTTATCTACCACTGTGAAAGATATAACTTTCTATTCTACATTTGGATAAACTTTTATATCATTACCTTTCTTCTAGGCTATTGCAAGAGCCTCCTAATTAGTCTCCCTGAATCAAGTCCCTCCCCTCTCCAATTTATCTTCCATACTGTTGCTAAAGTGAGAATCCTAAAGCACAGGTCTAACATGTCATTTCCTTGCTCAAGTAGTGATAATGACTCCCTATTACCTCCTGAATAAAATACAGGCTCTTCTGCTTGACAGTTAAAGCCTCTCACAACTTGATTCCTGACTCTTTTTTTCTGGATCTTCATCCAGGCTATACCTGATAACCACAGTTGTCCCCAAAGGCTGTGTCCTGGGCCCTTTTTGCTTCTCCCTCTCTCCTATTTGGCTTAGTGATCTTAACAGCTCTCATGGATTCAATTATCATTTCCATGGAGATGATTCTCATATCTATTTTCCCCAATCCTAATCTCATTCCTGACCATCAGTCAGTCTCCAACTGTCTAGAGGACATCTCAAACTGGATGTCTCATGGACACCTTAAACTTAACATGTCCAAAGTTGAACTTATCCTTCCCCTCTAAACCTTCTCTTCTTGCTAACTTTCATATCACTGTCAAAGACATCACCATCCTCCCAGTCATGCAAGCTCACAACCTAGGTGTCAGCCTTGACTCCTCACTCTCTTTGCCCCCCATAGTCAATCAGTTGCCAAATACTATCCATTCTACCTTCACAAAATCTGGCACCATAATGGTGAAGAACATCTCATTCCCAGAATATTTCAATAATTTCATAGCTTGCTGGTCTTCTTGCCTCAAGTCTCCCCCTACTCCACTAGTCCATCCTCTACTCAGTTTTTAAAATGATCTTCCTGCATCAAAGGTCTGACCATGGTCACCCCCTATTTGACAAACTTCAATGGTTTCCTATTACTTCCAGGATCAAATATAACATCCTTTTGGCCTTTTAGGGCAGCTGGGTGACACAGTGAATAAAGCTGTGGGCGTGGAGGCAGGAAGACAATTAAAATCCAGCCTCAGACACTTACTAGCTGTGTAACCCCGGGCAAGTCACTTAACCCTGTTTGGCTAAATTTCCTCATCTGTAAAATGAGCTGGAAAAGGACAGGGCAAACCACTCTTTTTCTTTGCCAAGAAAAACCCAAAAAGGATCACAAAGAGGAGCTGGACATGATGGAGAAATGACTAAGCAACAAACAACATTTGGCTTTTAAAGCCCATCATAACCTGGCTCCTTCCTACCTTTCCAGTCTTCTTGCACCTTAGCCCCCTACCAAGTACTCTGTAACCTTATCTCAGTAGCCTCCCTGCCTTTCCTTGAACAAGAATCTCCTGACTCCTTGGATTTTAACTGGCGGCTCTGCATGCCTGGGATTCTTTCCTCTTAGCTTCTTTTAGGTCTCAGCCAAAATCCTATCTCCTGAAAGAAGGATTTTCCCAATCCCCTTAATATTTTTAATTCAATTTTTCTCAGGTCTACATTCTCTCCCCCTCATGTCTCCTTTGCTCCTCCACCTACCTTTGAGAAAGCAAGGGGGGAAAAAAACACCTAACACCAGTTACTAATATGTATAGTAAAAGAAAGCAAATTCCCACATTGTTCATGTACAAAAAAACCATGTGCCTCAATCCGTCCTCTAAGTATACCACCTCTCAGTTTGGAAGGGCATAATGTGTTTCATCATGGGTTCTCTGGAATCGTAGCTGGTTATTGTGCTGGACAGAGTTTCCTAAGTCTTTAAAGTTGTCTTTACAATATTATTTTTTGTATAAATTGTTCTACGCACTTCACTTTACTGAATCAGTTCATTCAAATCTTCCCTGATTGCTCTGAAATACTTGTCATCTTTTCTTTTTTCTTTCACTTTTCATATTTACATTTTATTTTTGGCTTTACAAGGTGTGTATGTATGTATACATATACGTGATGTATGCTTCACATTTTTTCATGAGTTATCCGAACATTATACGTACATATACATACATACACACACAGAGGAGTATTCGCATCAATTTTATTGGGTAGTGTTATGTTGGAAATAAAAAGAAACCGAGCAATTACATTCAGGCACCAATTTATTAAGCTACCCAAGCAGTTGTAATACAAACTTGGACCAGGGCTCTCAATAGCCACAGACCCCAAAGCTTGGTTTCTACACCATTAATATACAATCTGAAGGGAGTAAAAAACAGGACTATAGGGATTGAGACATTTGGTTTCTCATTGGTAGACGGTATCTGAAGACACTCAGGTGAGAAGGGAGAAGGGTCTTGTGACAGTCTTTAAATGGGGTGACTGGGGAAGGGGAGTACTCTTGTGGCTTACTGAGAGTTGAAACTTCACAAAATGGTGGATGAAAGGCAAAATGGAGTTACTCATGCTAATTTTAATGTAACAGTACCTCTTTACTATTTAAACAACTAAATGCAAGTAATGCAAACAGTACTCATAATATAAAATATAATTTCACTTGGTACATATTCTGCATTGTAAATAAAGACGTTAATGACATATTGTGTTCCTCGATTTCAGATTAGTCCAAATGCTTTGGTGGTCATCAACTTCTGCTCTAAAAGATTGTTTTCATGAATTTTTTTTTTCCAGTATGGAAAGTCCTTGTTTTACTTAAGCACCCGCCAAATCCACAGCGGGATTGGCGGCGACTCTGGAGGCGGTCCCTCGGCTCCTTCCTCTCCCTGGCTTTTACTCTGCAGCTTGGAGCAGAAAGAAAAGTTTGTTCAGAGGCCGAGGGGAGAGGGGAACGAGGAGCCGCGAGGGAGAGGAGACTGGACCGGACGGGAAGGAGGAGCTGCGGGTGTCCCCGCCCCCTGCGACCAAAGAACCCCCGGGGCTCCCCTCAAATACACTCGCAGCCCCCGCACTTCAGATCCCCAAATGCCTCCCCCAGATCCACGGAGCACTGCCCCATGACTCCCAGATATTGTTCAGAGATCCCCAAAAGACACCTTTGGGGTCCCCAATACTCTCCAGAGACCGCCCCAGAATGGACAAATTCTGCCCAAAGGGCTCGCGGCACACCCCCCCAACACACACACACACACACACACACACACACACACACACACGTCCCCGCGACTACCGAACCCCTCAACACTGCGAGGAACCCCTAAACATTGCTCATGGACTTTCCCAACACATCCCGGAGCCTCCGGTGCATCCCAAGACCCAAAATCACTCGAGCACCAAACACCCTTTAGCGTTAACCCAAACACAAGAATCCTGGCCACCAGCCCCTGACATCCCTAGGGATGCAGCCCCGAATTCCCCCAAACACTTCCCCGAGAAACACAACACCCCCAGTAAGCCCCAGAGCAGCTTCCTGTCGGGATTCGCAGAGCCCGGCGGAAAGCGGAGTCTCTCCCCTCCCCCACTCCCTCCCCACACTTTCCAAGTTCTCTTCCGCTGCCACGGGCCACCGAGGCCCCAGTCTCGCGGACAGTTTAGGGAAACTCCTTCCTCTTCCCGAAAAAGGCAGAAGTCTCTTAAACCAACCCCACTTTCCCTAGGAGGACTTGCCTGGGCGCAGACAGCTCTTAGCCCACCTGGGAACACACTCAGACACCCTCTTCCCCCGGGAACGTAGGGCCAGGCGGGGGCTGCCAGCCGACTCAGGATGGTCAGCCTTGATACATTTAGTTATGGCTAGACAAAGAACCAGGCAGTGAAGTGGTGTAGCTAGTACATTGCACACCTCTAAGTAATTTGATCTGTAACTGAACTATCCTGACCAGTAACTCAGATCCACAGATTGATGCAAGGAATTTCCTCAGTTGTATATTTCAAGCAAACCATATGTCTTATTTGAAAACTAGATCTATACTGATCAATCAGTGATTGTTTCCATGCTACAGTTATTCGGGACTGTTATACCTCCTTTTCTGAATTCAGGAAATTGCAGCTGTTCACTCTACCCCTCCACTTAAGGGCCCCCACTAGGTGCTTCCGCTAGTGAGTACCAGTATCAATGAAATCACAAGCGCTGACCAAGAAAAAAAAGTTTCATTCAGCTCTAAAATCCTATTATCCGAATGCTGACTCTGAAAAGCCCCTCTTCCAGGCCCCCGAATCCCTTTTCCTCATTCCAGATTTATTGAACCTGTTACTTTGATCATCCCTGAAGTGAAGGAAATATGTGAAGAGCAGGCTCATTATTATAGGCTTAAACTAAGATGGAATAGGGCAATGGTGTCAAACTGAAGTAAAAATGGGCTCCTAATCTGTATATAAGGATCCTTGCAAGGCACGTGTTCAGTTTTAAAATGTTTTATTACATCTATATTTGTTTTGTATAAATATGTCCAAATTACATTTTGATCCAGTTCAGGCAGGTACTCAGGCGTGCCACCAACCTCTGCATTGGAGAACTCCTAAAGACCCTGCACATCTGATTCCACCTTTTCCAAGGGATCACCAATTTAGAATTGGGATGGAACTTGGAAGCAATGGATAATAATCCTTTCTTTTTACTGCTGTGAAAACTGAGGTTGAACTGCGTCCCTAAATCCCCTGTTCTCTCCCTCATGCCACTCTGCTTCTCTAAAATGGGTCTCTTCCTTCAGTAGAGCGTATGCTTTATAATTTGCGAGGAGCCCAGAACGCAAAGAAACAAGAGGAGAGGCTGAGATCACTTCAAGGTCACCTTAGTAAACTCTAGCTTTGGCTTGCCTCAGTCACTGCCTGACCCCTCAGTCCCCCTCTACTCCCACCAGTGCCTGGTTATTCATTTGTGGGGAGGGGATGGCTTAGAAAAACCGGGTGAGCTTGCTCAAGTTACTTAACTCCAATTGCCTCACTTTCTTCAAATACAAAATGAGCCGGAGAAGGAGACAACAACAAGAAACCCCCCAACGACGTCATGAAGAGTTAGACACAACTGAAATGACTGGTAACAGTGCTAAAGGAAAATTTTTGTTGTATGGGGAAGAACTGGGAAGGATAAGAGAAGGGATTTTTTTGATCAATCAGCATCTATTAATCACCTACTTATGTATGGACCAGTACAAGGGATACAAATATAATCAATAAAATGATCCTTACTTGAAAGGAGCAAGGAGGCCTTTAGAGAACGAAGAAATAATTTCTAATTTCCCCTAAAGAAGAGAAGGGTGGGGTGGGATGGATTTTGCTATGCAGAAGAAGAGGTAGAAGACTGGAGTTGAAGCTACTTAAAAATGGGGAGAAAGGAAGGTACTCTCTCCCTGCCCTACCCCTCAGTAGTGGGGTGGGGAATGAGAAATGTGGTGGGGTTGTAGGTTTCCAAGTGGACAGATCAGGTTTGAAGGGGAAGAATCCAGATTGGGAAGCCATTGGTTTCAGGACGACCAGGCTGTGTCAGGCAGGAAGCTGGGGTCCAGGGATCTCAGACCCAGAGAAATCTTGGCTATGGTTTTGCATGTAGATTGGTTAGATTTCATGCCTGATGAGGATTAACCCCAGAGAAGCAACAGCAGTGTCAAAGCCAAGAAGGGGAAACTGGCCCCCCAACTGAAAATGCCTGGGGCAGAGGCAAAAGCATAGTATTTAGCCACAGCTTCATTGGGGTTTCCCTGGGCTGGGTCAAACCACATCTGGATACATTTGCCACTGCCCCTGCCAAAAGAGCTTGCAGTGTAAGAGTGACTCCAAACGTTCTCACATAAGGAGGCTGGTGTTGGGAAGTAAACTGGGAAAGGGTGGCAGGCAGCCTCAACTGGACACTTGTTAATCCCTGTGGAATGGAAAAAAAGAATATCAACCTGATCCCCCACAACCCTGATTCCACCTCCCCACCAGCCTTCCACCCCAGCTCAGGCTTCCCCTGCTCCCTTCTCCTCACCACCAACTCTGGATCCTAGCCTTCATCCTGAGCCCCAAATCCCTAGCTCTTCAATGTCTACAGAGCCTCTCCCACACCAGTTATCACAACCCATGCCCTCAGGCCCTGAATTCAGATGCACAAACCCATATTGTAGCCAGCCCTCTCTCTAGCCTCTGGTCCTTCCCCTAGATCCCCACTTACCTACATCTCTACTATGCTTAACGACAAATCCCAGCCCCTAAACTGAAGGTTCCTATACCTTTAGCCCCAACTTTCCATACCCAAAATCTAGCCCTCCACTTTATCTTGTTTTTATATCAACCACATTTCCCCAAATCTCTTAAGTTCCTCCTTCATCCAGAGAGCCATAGATTACAAGAAAAAAATCAGAACTAACCAATGCATCAAAAAGACTTTTTTTTTTTGGTGAGGCAATTGAGGTTAAGTGACTTGCCCAGGGTCACACAGCTAGTTAAGTGTCAAGTGTCTGAGTCCAGATTTGAACTCAGGTCCTCCTGACTCCGAGGCGGGAGCTCTATGCATTGCGCCACCCAGGTGCCCCAATCAAAAGCACTTTATATAGAGTATTCCACAGCCATAGCCCACCCCTCAGCTCCTCTCTGCACGGGCAGGGAGGTACAGTCTCCACTCTCCTACCCATGGATCCTGCCCCCTTCCTCTTTGCCCCTGGCCCTTTCTCCCTCTAGCCTCAGAGGGAGCCTAAGCCTCACCTGAAGTCCAATTCCAGCCTTTGCTCCAGTTCTCTTTGCAGGTATATGAGGTTCGGCAGTCTTCCCACCATTGGTTACAGTCCTCTTTGCAAAGGGGAACATTCAGGACCCGTTCCCTCCTCCAACTTGAGAACACCTTGGTTGGGGAGAGGAAACAACAGTTTTCAAACATTTTTTTGGCAGGGGGAGGGGAGACAAGACAATTGGGATTAAGTGACTTGCCCAGAGTCACACAGCTGGTAAGTGCTATGTGTCTGAGGCCAGATTTGAACTCAGGTCCTCCTGACTCCAGGGCCAGTGCTCTATCTACTGCACCACTTAGCTGCTCCAGTTTTCAGACTCTTAACCCTGGCACATCTCCCTGAGGGTGGAGGCTGTGCTTTCCCCTTAATACAGGGGGGAGGGGGATGCTTAGTAGATAAGGACACAAGTCTCATGTTCCCCTCAGTTACCTACCGGCCGGATCCAGGGTCCCAGGTTGGGGGAGCACTCGTAGAGACAAGTGTCCTGCACAAAGTGGCGTTTGCAAGCCGGGCTCATCATTCCGCAGTGGTTATAGTTGAAGCGGTACAGGGGGGAGGCATCTTCATGGGCTGCAATGCTTGTGTCTGCTGTACAGCAGGCATTTTTCTTCCATGGGCTACACTGGTGGGGAAGGAGTTGGGGGAAGGGAAGGCACAGAGGGCTGAGGAGCTGGGCACAGACTCCCATTTTTAAATCACTCTAAGGTTTACCAAATGCTTTCCAAGCAACAATGGGGACCTAGAGGGGTGAATGACTGGCCCAACATTGCACATTCAATGTCACTACCAAAATGTGAACGCAAGCCTTATATGAGGCCAGGACCCTATCCATTACATCATGTTGCCTCTCCCAGAGCCAGAGCCATCAGATATCACTTACTCTGACCCAAGTGCGGCCTCAAAAATTCAAGCCAGTGGGTAGTCACCCTATCCTTGAAACTCCTGTGTTCTTTCCCTCTTCAGAATTTCCTTCAATTGTTGCTGTTGCTATCTTGTTTACAAATAGAATACATGCTTCTGGTATCTTGTATATCTATCTGTGCCTGACCTATGCCAGAGCCTTCTGAGCTCCTGTTGGTCTGACCAGCCACAGTCAGACACATTGTGCCTGGACCCCAACATCCTGATGTCCTTTTGGTCTTCTTTATGCACTAAGAACAGCCACCGACCAAGCAATCAACCTGAGTCTGGACAGCAGGGATTATGTTGCTTTCTCTTTGCACCCCAGGCACCTGGAACCTGGCAACCACAAATTCTGGAGGACTAATGATGGACTCATGCTGCAGAATAAGACGTATTTTTCTAGACAAGGCCAGTATAGGAATACTTTGCTTGATTAGCCATAATTCCTACAAGAGCTTTGGGCTTTTTGTTGTTTGTCCAATGGTGGGATTGTGGGGATAAACCATACTTTTGTTTATTTTTTAAAATGAAATTTAATTTTAAAAAATGTCATGTAAAAAGAAATTTAAATTATCTTTCTAGTCAAATTTCTCATAGTGCTTTCTCTGAACTTCCCCTCTGCCCTTATCTTCCTGGCCTTTGTAACTTACTCATTTGTCTATCTCTTTTTTCTCCATTTGATAGTAAGCTCTGAACAGGCTATGTCAAATCTTCCCCTAGATTCCCAGTGCCAAGCTCATGGACCTTCACAATATTTGTGGAATGCCATGGTTTGAAGGTCACTCCTAGTTCTGACACTAGGATTCTATGAAACTTTCATGGGCCTGAAATGTTTGCCTGAGATGTAGATTAGTCCCAGCATGATCATTTACCAGCCATCTGACTCTGAAGATGTCAGGCCATCTCTCTTGAGCCTCAGTTTCCTCATTTGCAAAATGTACTACCTTCCCTCCTTGAGTTTTTATTGCTGTTGTGATGAAACTTTGTAAACTGTCAAATTGACAATAGGAACTATTATAAAGAACATCCCCTCTTGTCAACCCCATAGCCTGATCTCCCATTCAGAAGTCTATGCTGTGGTCCCTCTAGGCCCAGGAGGTTTGCCCCCTGCCTGTTACCTGACGATGAAGGTCATCTTCTGGACCAGGCTGTATCTTGTGGTGTTTAGCATCCATGCAGACATTGAGCAGATCATTTCCTCTTGGAAGCCCATGGGCCATGGCCAGGAGGCCCAGGAATAGCAACCCCCATCCTGGTTGAGTCATGGTCTTTAGGGCCTGTAGCCCAAGGGAAGGGGAAGTCAGAGGCTGAGGGAGGATGGAACCTGGAAGCAGAGGGGGGTGGGGCTGGAAGGAGAAGGAGAGGAAGTAACATCTAAAGGTACTAACAATAATAGGTAGGGGGACTGGGGATGCGGGCAGGGTGGAGAGTCTAGGATCCATCTAAGGCTAAGGTTTAAATCTTAGAGTCTTAGACGTTTTTGGTAATCTAGTGAAGTTTATGGATGCCTCCTCAGAATAATGTCTTTTAATGCATGAAATAAAATACATAGGATTACAAAGGAAAACTGTTATTTTGAAATAGTCATCAACTTTTTTTTTAAGTCCGTAGATTCCAGAATAAAAACTCCTAGTTTGGGAAGGAGTTTTGAGTGACTGAGATGGGGAGGGTAGAGCATTAGTCAAGGGAGAAAAAAGGTAATGGGAGGGGGTAGGGAGGATCTAGAGCTCTGGGAAAGCAGAATCTGGGATGGGGGTGGGGCAGGAAGCCCAGATACTTGAATCTTCCTGAAAGTGGGATCTCTGACCTTAAACCAAAGCTTTCTGCTCCTCTGGACACCTTATCAAGGGGAAATGATCTAGTGTCCTGCCCCAGTGAGAGGAGGGAGGAAAGAAGAGGAAAATCTTGATCCTACTCTTTCTCTCTCTTCCTCCCAAGCAAGAGGAATTCTGCCCCACCCTTAGCCTCAGCCCCAACCACTACTTAGAACAGAATTTTGGGCCTAATTTCAACACAGACACCTAATAAAATTGCCCTCTGGGATAGAGGGTAAACCCCAGGGCTGGAAATCCTCTCTCCTAGATTCTAACTCCATCTCTAGGACCCACCTTGGTTGAACACACAGCCATTGCTCCATTTCAGAACTAAGAGGGACCTCAGAATGTTTAATGTGACCGCAGGAAAGGCTTGAAGAACACGTAGTATCAGAGCTAGATTGGTCCTGAGAGATTATCTTGTCCAACCCATTTATTTTACAGTTAAAGAAACTGAAGTCCAAAGAGGGGAAAGGATTTCCCCAAGGTCATACAGCAAATCAAAAATGGAATACAACTTGACCAACTGAGTCAGTTTTTTCCCCTCTGCATGGCACTGCCTGCTTCCCTTGGGAAAAGTATAATTTTAGCTTTTCTTCCTCTTTATCTCCACTCCCAGTTCTAAAGGCTTCAATTTCCTTGAGGGAAACTGTTCCAAACTGGCATGGTGGTCTAGGCCAGAAAAGGGTGAGAGAGGCTTATGGCTAGCAATCTCCAGGGGAAAAACAGATTGGGAATCAGAAAGGGAGCTCCTTCCCCCAGCAGAATCTCCCCCCTGTCATTCGACAGAGCCTTTCTCCTTTCCCTGAATTTTTTCCTCAGTTCCACAACACCACCACCCTCATTCACCCCAAGCACTCCCTGGAGACCCTCCTTGATCCCTGCACCCACTTCTAGCAAGTTGTGGTAGGGAGCTTTGGGGGATAAGGCAACTAGAGATTGGGATGTACAGCCCTCCCCTGGAAGGAAAGGAGACAGCATTCTCAAACCCAAGCCGACCAGGGTTTATCTCCTTATACCAGATTACTATAGTTTGAGTCCGTGGCTGCAGAGGGAGACTCTTAATTTAGGAGGGCTTAATTCAGCTCTCTTTCTTCTGAGTGTCTCCAAGAGATGTTTATTTCAAAGACCATTGGATTTGAAATTCTAGGGCCTGGGCTAGAAGCATCATGCCATTGCCAATCAGTTCTTTCACTTCTAAGTCCTTTTACCTGTTTGGGTCTCAGTTTCCTTCTCAGCAAAGTGGAATGGGGGGGGAGGGTTTTGGGGGGGAGGAGAAGGAGTGGGTGAAGCATGGGACTAGACGGTCTCTAATATCTCTTTTTACCTCTGGAATTCCATTCTCTATGCTCCAAGGCTCTGTCCTGCTCTTACATTCTATGTTCTATGTCCTAAGCTTTGATAGCCTATGAGATATCTGAGTGGTATACTGGATAGCTCTCTGGCACTTGAAGACCCTCAAATACTTATTAGCCCTATAATCCAAACCTCTATCTGCCTCTGTTTCCTCAATTGTAAAATGAAGAAATAATAGTGCCTACTAACAACCAACTACTAAGGCTATTGTAAGGATCAAATGAGACCTTTGTAAAGTGTCTGCAACATATTAGGTGCTATACAAATGCTTATTCTCTTCTCCCTAAGATCCCACACCACAACAAAGGGAGGGAAAGCTGATGGGGTGATGAGATTAGGTATTAAATTTAATTCCAAAATTATTTATTAAATACATGATGTTTGGAGGGCCCTGTGCTTCTGGCTGGGAATATAAAGCTGAAAAACTACAATCCCTGCCCTCAGGCAGCTTGGTCTAATAGAACAAATCCAGTCTCACACACTTAAAACTAACAAATCATTAAACCTTTCTTAAGAAGTGTCTTCATCTGTAAAATGAGGATAAAAATAGCACCTACCCCACAGGACTGATGTGAGTGAGCATCAGATGAGACCCTTAGAGTGAAATATAAAGGCTGGCTATTATAATTATTTTGTATTTTATTATTATATTATTTATATTTTATAATTATGGTGAACTAGATAAAAAGTATAAGTAATTTTATTACAAGGGAGAGTTAAATAATGGCAAAGAAGAGGCCCAAGCAAAGTCCCTTCAGACATATGAGGAATCAGGGGCAGCTAGGTGGCGAAGTAGATAGAACTTGGGACTTGGAGTCAGGAGGACCTGAGTTCAAATGCAGCCTCGGACCAAACACTTGACACTTACTAGCTGTGTGACCCTGGGAAAGTCACTTAACCCCAACAGCCTAAAAAAAAAGATCACTTTCAATCCTTGGCAAACCTATAAGGTGGGTGTTTGGGAAGGGTGGGGGGAAATGTGATAGGGTCAGGGAAGAGTGGGCAAGGGCACCTGAGGCAAACCTACAAGGAAAATAAGGATTTTTAGGGTGAGGGAAAGTGGGCAAGGGCTATAGCATAAAAAGGGAGCGCAGCTAGGTGGCACAGTGGATAGAGTGCCAGGCTTTAAGTCAAGAAGACTCACCTTCCAGAGTCAAATTTGACTTCAGACAGTGTGATCCTAGGCAAGTCAATTAACCCTGTTTGCCTCTGTTTTTCGTCTGTAACATGAGCTGGAGAAGGAAATGGCAAACCATTCTAGTATCTTTGCCAAGAAAACCCCAGGTGGGGTCACAGAGAATCAGACATAACTGAATAACAACAAAACCTGAAAAGGAGACCTGAAGATATAGGAGGAGAGATTAGGGAACAGTCCCCTCAGGTTAAAGAAGTCAGGAGGAAGAGAGCAAATATGGCTGGGGAAATGTTAACTAGAGCCAGATTCCTGGAGAGCCTTGAGTTCCAGGTAAAGGAATTTGTATAATGTCCTAGTAACAGGAGAAAGCCACCAAATTCATCTTTTTGAGCAAGGAATCGCTTCAGCCTTCAAAAGTCTGTGGAACAGAACTATTTCAGGATCCGATTTAAACTGTGAAAGGGAAAGCTAGAGTCTGAAGTGGTGGAGAGGGAGAGAAGAGACAAGAAAGCTACAGTTTCAGGGAAGAGTAGGACAGCCAAGTAGGAAGAGAGAAATGAAAGGTCCCCAGAGTTGCAGAGGTTAGGGGAGGAGCTCAGATACAGAGAGAGGTTTAAGAATCATGAGAGTGGAGGGAAATGAGATTGCTCAAGTAGAGAAACATATAGAGCCTGTCCCTGTGTTTCACCTGTCCCCAGCCTCTCCAATACCCTTAGCCACAAGTGTCTATGACACCTTACCTGTCTCTTCAAGGTTCCCAGAGATTCTATGCAAGCCTGGAGCTTAAAATAATAGCAGAGACCCTTAGGAGGGGAAGTTTCCTTTTATAAAGCTAGCACTAATTTAAATACCAACCCTGGCTCGGGATTTAATTGGGCTTTGGTGGCTTGAGGGGTGGGAAGAGAAACCTTGCCCCAAACCCAGATCATATCCCCAGGTAATGAATGGAGGCACTCAAGGGCCAATCGTCATTTTTGATCCAAAATCCACTACTGACCAGAAGTCTATTGTTCCTTTCCCATAGTTCCACCCACCCCTTCAGTCCTCAGTGTTTAGCAGTAATTTGCCTTGGTCAACCAGACTGAACCAGCCTCTAATCTATGGATGGCCTTTAAGCGTCCTCAGAGTCTGGAGGGGAAAATTTATATCTATATAATCTACATTACTTTTATCAATCAAAAAAAGATAAATAACAGATCAATGACTTGGGCATGCAACTTAAAAAAACCAAACAACTAGAAAAGCAACAAATAAAAACCCCATGTTTAAAATTCCGAAGTAAAAATTCTCAAAATCAAAGAATAGATTAATAAAAGTGAAAGCAAAAGACCCAGTGAACTGATAAATAAAAATAGTAACTTAAAAAAACTAAGTAAACCGTTAGCATATCTGATTTTTTAAAGAGAAAACCAAAATCACAAAAGTGAAAATTCACCAAAAAATGAGGAAGTTATTAGAAACAATTTTGCTTAATGACATGCCAACAAAACAATGTGATTTAAATGGATGAATATTTACAAATATATGAATGTGACAAATAATTCATTTGGACCCCTACTGTATTCCAATCAGTATTAATCAGTCTGATATTCTACATAAATCATATAGGGATAGCTAAGTTTTTATAGTGGGCCTCAAACTTTAATGTAATGTACACTACTTGTTTACCAAGTTATGAGACTCACTTGCACAACAACTTGCACAAGAAAGCTGACAAAGACGTCTCCATCCTGTTTTACTCAAATTCCATGTCCAAATCCAGCTTGGGCGGGATGCCTTGATGCTTTGGAAAGTCCCCCAACTTATTTTTGTACCTTCAGATCATTCTCTCTTGTTCAACACGAGCAGGTGTCCATCTTATTGTTGAGGTTTAGGAATGGTGGGATCCTGAAAAAGCAACACATGGGTTCTGACCAAGTACATTAGACCCAAGCCTTCCTTCGGCCAAAGATTTGGTTTTTTAAAACACCAACAGAGGGTGGGCATGATTCTAACAATCTGCCATATTGGCCAGACTCTTAAGGCATCTGAACATTTGTGCAAGTGGGCCAGATTGAACCTGAGCCATTGGCCAGATTTTAAGAATTTGAGCCCCTTAATGGAGACAAGATAAACCATATATACAGAAAGACTATGGGAAGGATCTTGGAGTGTCCAAGTAGTCTGGGGTGACTGGAGGAGGGGTCTAGGGAGGATCTTGATGGGAGTGGCCAGTAGGCTGGGATTGTTGAGGTTTAGAGGTGGTCAGCCCTGAAATAGCAACATGAGGGTCCTGCCTGAATGAATTCGACCCAAGCCTTCTTTCAGCCAAAGATAAGCTTTATTAAAGATCTGACATATTGGCTAGACTCTTAAGGAATCTAAGCATCTGTGGCTAATAGTGACAAGCAAGCTAGATTAAATTTCAGCAGCCCATGGCTAGATTTTAAGAATCTGAGCCATTGGCTAGACTGTTAAAGAATCTGAGCACCCGAATGGAGGCCAGATGGACTTTATATACAGAAAGTCTGTAGGAGGGATCTAGGAGTGGCCAAGTAGTTTGGGGGTGACTGGAGGAAGGGTCTGGGAGAAGAGATATCTTGATGAGAGTGGCCAGTAGGCTGGGGTGACTGGAGGGATCTAGGAAGGATCTTGATGAGAGTGACTGGGAGGTCTAGAATGGGTTCTAGATAGGATAAAGCAGGGAAGTAGCTGGGGGTCATTTGGAGGTAATAGACAATGAAGGCCTGGGCTAGGTTAAGGGTAACAGAGAATTGGGCATAGGTGATAATGAAAAGCCAACTGAAGGGATTATAGCCTCAGGCAAATGCCAGAGACTTACTCAAGTGGGAAAATTCAAGGCAAATTGGGGGGGGGCTATGTTTCCAGAGCCTGTACCCTGTTATTCCCCCTCAAATAAATGAGACTCAAATTCTTTTGGGGTAAGGGGCAAAGGTCTTGGCTTGGGTCTAAACCCTATCATGCTCATTGGTGCTAGTTGGTCAGCAGTTTTTGTTTGTGATGATGAGGTAGGTAGACCCCCTCTCCACAGGCATTCCTTCCTTCATTGAGGCTCTGGGGGCTGGAAGCACTTCTGGTGGCTGAGGTAGGGAGACTGCTACTCCCAAGGTTCATGGATTTAGGTTTCTTGGGCTGTCTATATTAGGGTCTTAAGTGAGATGGTAGTCAAGATGGTGGTGGTAGTTTCATTTGCATGGCATATGTTGCTTCCTGTCATTCCTTCTAGGATACCAAATATGGACAAGATACTTAACCTAAGGAAAGACAATAAAGAAAAAGAAGATTATAGACCAGAATTTCTTAATCTTTTTTGTGTGTGTTGGACCCTTTTGACAATCTGGTAAAACCTATGGATTCCTCAGAATACTTCAGATTGGACATAATAAAATACATATCAAAACATAGTTATCAAAATCTTTTAAAAAACAGGTCTGTGGACCCCCAGGTTAAGAGTCACTGTCATAAACCAATATCTTTAATGACTATTGATGCAAAAATATTAAATAAAATATTAGCAAAGAAGCCATAACAATATTTTTTTAAATTATGCACTATGACTAGGTTGGATTTATACCAAGAATACCCAGTTAGTTCAATATTAGAGAAACTATGGCCCTAATAGACCATATTAATAACAAAAAGAATTAAAATCACATTATTATATCAAAGAATGCAGAAGAGGCTTTTGCAAAAATACGACACCCATTTCTATTTAAACATACTAAAACCAAAGGAATAAATAGACCTTGCCTTAAGAAAGAAGCAGCATTGTAAACCCTAAAGGCCTTTGTAATGAGATCAGGGGTAAAGCAAGGATTGTCATTCCATTTTAATTTATCATTTATTTTTGGCATTCTTTTTTTTTTAAATTTTGAGTTCCCAGTTCTCTCCCTCCTACCCCGTCTTCCACCCATTGGGAAGGCAAGCAATATTATATCAATTTTACATGTGAAATCATGCAAAATGTATTTCAGTGTTGGCCATATTAAAAAAAAAACAAATGAAGAAAGCAAGAAAATTACACTTCATTCAATTTGCACTCAGAGTACATGAGTTCTTTCTCTCTCTGGAGGTAGATAGCATCTTTTCATCATGAATCCTTTGGAATTGTCTTGAATTATTATATTGATTAGAGCAGCCAAGTCTTTCACAGTTGATCATCATTACAACATTGCTGATATATTGTGCACCCAGATCTCCCAGTTCTTCTCACTTCACTTTGGATCAGTTTATATAGGTCTTTCCTTGTTTTTCTGAAATCACCCCCCTTGTAATTTCCCACAGCACAATAGCACTCTGTCACAATCATTTGCTACAACTTGTTTAACTATTCCTCAAATGATGAGCATCTCCTCAATTCCCAATTCCAATTTGCTACCATAAAAAGAGCTGCTATAAATATTCTTGCACATATAGGTCCTTTTCCTTTTCCTTTTATCTCTTTAGGGATACGGGCCTAGCAGTCGTATTACTGGATCAAAGGGTATGCACAATTTTATAGCCCTTTGAGCATTACTGTATAAGGGAGTTGTATAAGTTGTATAAGGATTGCCAAATAGAGATAGAGAGAATTATGGAATGTAAAATGGATAATTTTATTTACATTAAATTTAAAAGTTTTTGCACAAACAAAACCAATGCAGTGCGGCAGCTAGGTGGTGCAGTGGATAGAGCACCGGCTGTGGAGTCAGGAGGACCTAAATTCAATGTGACCTCAGACACATAATTGGGCAAGTCACTTAACCCCAATTGCCTCACTAAAAAAACGAAAAAACAAAACCAAAAAACCCCCCAATGCAGGCAAGATTAGAAGGAAAGCAGAAAATTGGGAGGAGGGGGAATTTTATGGCAAGATTCTCTGATAAAGGTTTCATCTCTCAAATATGTAGAGAACTGAGTCAGATTTATGTTAATATGAGTCATTCCCTAATTGATAACTGGTCAAAGTATATGAAGGGGTAGTTTTCTGACGAAAAAAATCAAAGCTACCTAGAGTCATATGAAAAAATGCTCTAAATCACTATTTTAAGAGTATTTTTTCAATTGTACATAAAGATAATTTTTAACATTCATTTTTACAAAATGTTGAGTTCTAGATTTTCCCCTCCTTTTCCTAAAATGATAAACAATTTTATATAGATTATATACGTATAAACATGTAAGATATTTTCCATGTTAGTCATATCATGAAAGAACAGACCAAAAAGGGGGAAAAACACACCAAAAAATAAAATGAAAATAAAATGCTTCAATTTGCATTCAGGGTACAGCAGTTCCTCCTCTGGATGTGGATAATATTTTCCATCATAAGTCCTTTGTAATTGTCTTGGTTTACTGTATTGTTGAGAAGAGCTAAGTCATTCATAGTTGATCATCACACAGTATTGTCATTACTGTGTACAGTGTTCTAGTTCTGCTCATTTTATTTTGCAGTAGTTCATATATGTCTTTCCAGGTTTTTCTGAAATCTGGCTGCTCATCATTTTTCATTACATAATAATATTCCATTACATTCATATACTATAGCTTGTTCAGCATTCCCCAGTTGCTGAGCATCACCTCAATTTCCAATTTTTTGCCACCACAAAAAAGAGCTGCTATAATATTTTTATGTATGTAGGTCCTTTCCCCTTTTTTGTGATCTCTTTGGAATATAGACCTAACAGTTGTATTGCTGGGTCAAAGGGTATGCACAGTTTGGTTGCCTTTCTGGCATACTTCCAAATCTAAATCACTATTGATTAGAGAAATGCAAATTAAAACCACTCTGAGGTACCACCTCATATATATTGGACTGGCTAATATGACAGAAAGGGAAAATGACAAGTGTTGGAGGGGATGTGGGAAAACTGGCACATGAATGCACTGTGGATGGAATTGTGAACTGATGCAACAATTCTAGAGAGCAATTTAGAACTATTACATTTTTTTAAAAATAGGTATGATTTTATCAATGGAAATGACATTAAAGAAGATGTATTCCTATCTACTTTGGTCTAGTACCTTAAGGACCACTGAGACTTTCCATCTGACTTGCAGCTAAAACCTACGGGAATTATCTACTATTCCTCCACTTTGAATATCCTTCCTCCTCTTTGCTTCACCATTTGAATTTCTCCCTATCCTTTAAAGCTTCCAGGAAGCCTCTCCTGCTTCTTCCAACCTCACATTTCATGACAGAACTTTGTTTGCACTTCTCTGAGGCATTTGTCATGCAATATTACTTTTGTAATATTATTAATATTAATCCACTTTACCAACACAGGCAGAGGGCAGACATCTAGCATGGGGAACACAGGTCAATGGGGAGCAAGAAGGGATGAAACTTTATCAACATGATAAGCAACACACCAACCTTGTTGCTTCATGTTGTCATTCATATAACACTTTGTACACAAAACATCGTTTCACATCTAATGTCTCATTTGATCTGTATGACAACCCTGCACAGGAAGCAGAGCTTGTCATCCTCATTTTACAGAGAAAGAGACTAAGTTTCAGAGAAGGTGCCTTGCCCAAGGTTACACACCTAATAAATGGTGGGGCTTGGATCAAGCCCAGATACCTTGATTTCTAGTCCTGTGCTCTTTCCACTGTACTGTCTCAGAAGACGGGACAGTAGGACACAGTTTGGAACTCTGCCCTTCTTGCCTTTTGCTTTTACCTTCCAAGAATACCACCCTCTGCTCTTGCAGGTTACTGTCTTGGTAACATTAACTCTGGTCTACAAACACTCTCTGGGAATCTCACATTCTCTCTGGGAGTGTTGGTAAGCTCTGAAACTGTGCCCCTAGCCAGGGCCCAGTGGTATTTCAGCAGAGAGGGATGTCCTTAACACAGGTACTCTCTTTCTTAGTATAGCACATGGCCTCTCCAGGATTCTTGTC